TATGATGTCTCTGCATGTTTTGAGTTGCATGAGGTCTACAGGTTCAGTGAGCTGTCCATATCTGTATGTGGGAGTGCTATGCCAGCAATTCAAGTTGTAGTGACCATAGTTCTTAATCCTGTTGCAGATGGCAAGGTGATACCCAAAGATAAAAGGACAAACCTTTGGCATTAGCTCCATCCCATCCTGGGAACACTCCCCTTTTAATACAGAGTTCTGGGGGGCATGGTGTTTCCGAGAAGGTGTCTCAGATGTTTATTTCTTGGAAGAAGTCTGCCAAAAATATTTATAGTTCAGGTGAAGGTTTGTGGTGTTGTACTCACAGGTCCTTTGGGTCTCCTTAACTGGTCCGCATGAACTGCTTGATCACCTTTCATTTGCCTAGTTTTCAGACAAATTGCATACTTTATTTATGGGGTAGATATATTGGCATCTCTGGACCTAAATGGAAGGTGGACCAGTGTTTCTGTAGCCCTTGGCTGTCCATTTCACACAAGGAAACCTATATTTAAAACTCCCCTGCACTGTGAGTTCTTAAATCCATATGGACAAAATATTGTTGGGCTTAGACTTACTAATTTCCTGGTGACAATGACATCAGACTGCACAGCAAATGGTCTTCAGGCTCTGGTGGCTGATCCACACTATTCTAGTTTTCAGTGTTTAATTAGTACCTATATGTTCATTTTGGTGAAGTCCTTCTCCCCAAATTTGACATTAAAAAGATTGTGTTTTTTTTCTTAAATTAAAGGCATTTGTGGTCTATCCAGCTTTGTTTCTTCTGAGACTAGTTCCTTGGATCTCACTGTCAAAAAGACAACTGTGTTTCCATCTCTCACTAGTGCGATGAATAACTGTATAATTATAGTCTGACAAAGTGGGTATTCACCCACGAAAGCTTATGCTCCAATACATCTGTTAGTCTATAAGGTGCCACAGGACTCTTTGTTGCTTTTTAAAGATCCAGACTAACACGGCTACCCCTCTGATATATAATTAAAGTTCACAAAATGGTTCCTGCTATTCAATGTAGAGCAGTTTTCACTGTCATGCTTATAGATGTTTTCATTCTGTTCAGATACAGGTAGCTATGTGACCCTTGTGGTATACGCTCATAAAGCAATATTGTTGGTATTCTTTCCCTGGGGCAAAACTCACTTGGATTATGGATAGAGTCCTGTGCGATACAGAATTTTTATCCGCATCCGAGCCGCGAGCCGCAAAAATGGTCCGTGGATATCTGCATCATGGATATCAATGGATATAAAGCGGATATCTGCAAATTTGTGGGCCTTAATTATGAAGAGCTCAGAGGCCAATCTCCAAAGCAGAGGGGTTCAAGCTTTCTCAGTCCCCTAGAGCTTTTGTTTCTTTTGGCATGTCCCTTGTTTTTGCTTTTATGAACTTTTTTCTTTTTTATGGAATGCATTCTTGAAGCTCTTTCAGTTTAGCTTTCATACTGTTTGGAGGTACTTGATCCCTTCCTTGGTTCAACCAAAAACGTTTCAGTTGCTTGTTTAGCAGGGCCCTGTATCTTCATCACTGCCTGAATTGGCGAGTAGTATTGCTTTTCCTCATACTATCTAATCCTCAGAGTAAGAATCTCCTGAAGGGAGATTTCTTACCTTGTAATTCTCCTTGTCTGCAGAGACCATCACACAAATTTTCATTCACCCACCTCCCCTTTGAGTTTAGAAACTTTGCTTTTAAAGTGGTAGGTTGTGTCTTTATAGCTGCACACAAGCGAGTATTTCATTATTTTACTTGAAAAAGAAACTGACAAATGAGGTTACCAGTGGGCTGTACCACTCACATGTTCCATATACTGATGGGGCGGGATATGCAGGCCTCCCACAACTGAAGAGTGTTAGAGTTCACAGCCAATATTGTGCTAGAGACCCAAAGAGTGAAAATTCTATGAGATATCCTCAAACAAATAAAATTGCAAAGTTATATTCCCTTCTAATGGAACTTTCTGACTTACAACATTTACTTGAAAGTAGAAAACAAGCTTTTCTTTGTATATAAAAACTCCAGGACTACATTCAGAAAGATGTTAGCCACCCAGACAACTTTGAACAGGTTTTTGATAATGCAGATCACCTGTAATCAGGTCGCCATTGCAGGATTTTTTAGGTCTTGCAAACTAATTAAAATATTCCAGATTTATTTGGAGTATCTTGACACAATGATTTAGACATTGTGGATAAGAGTGAACCAAGCTTAGGGTGTCCCCAACATGCTTCATTTCAGTCTCAAAATTACATAGGTTCCATACAAACTTGGCAGTCCTTCACTTTTATTGTTTTACATAATTTACATCTAAAACTGAAATTGTAGAGTTATTTTATGCCAAATGAATGGATCCCAGCTGCATTAAGCTCCTTGAATGAATAATTTTTGTTCCCATAATTTATGAGTCTGTTTGCATCCCACATTAGGGCCTTCACAGGTTGAGGTCTGGTACCCAAAATTAATTTTAGGAAAGGGGAAATTTTGAGGCAGAATGATAGTGTAGCATTTTAAAACACCAGATTGGCAGTGGAGATGTTGGTTCCATTTCCATCTCTTCCACAGATTTCTTCTGTGATCTTAGGCAAGCGATTTAACCTAAGCTTTACTTTCTCCAATTTCTAAAATGGGGATAATAAAATATCCTTATCTCACAATGTTGTGAGGCTTAGTGCCTTGCTTGAAAAAGCTTTGAGAGCCTCACATTTTTAAGGGCATTAGACGTGAAAAGTACTGTTAGGTGTCACTTTGTCAAGAATTATGTTTCAGTTATCAATAACACAGACAAACTTTGATGCCATTTCTGGATAAGTACCCTGTCCTACATGTTCACTGAGGCCTGTTCAACAATAACGGAAGCTTAAGTGTGATGGTAAATGTTTAGATTATTATTAATTTGTATTATAGTAGTGCCTAGAGGCCCAATGAGGACTGGGGTCCAATTGTGCTAGGCACGCTTTAAAAATACAAAGTAAAAGACAGTCTCTGCCCCTGAACAGCTACAATCTAAATTATCAAGAAAGACAGGCAAAAATCAAAAGAACATGACTGTATTCATAGGCCCTTGAACTTTTGACTGATACAGAACAAGCTGTACAGATATGCATGTGTATCTACATGGTTTGAAAAGTGCCATGCTTGTCTAATTCCAAATGTGGCTGATTAGATGCACAAATCCTGGTCCTCTCAAATGTAAACAAAGCAACTTGTAATCTTTTGAAAACTAAATAATATGATTTAATAAACTGAATATTAAATTTTCTTAAGCAGATTTGAGATGTTATTGTGATAGGTACAAGTGACAGAATGCACCTGGGGACAGGGAGGGAGTTTCCTAGCTTTTGCTTGAAAGCAAGGTACTTTCCACTCACTTACTAACTCACTCAGGAGTAGTGTTAACCTTTGAACACTTCTACTTTGCCTGAGGGGGCGGAAACCCAGACTAGAAGACTGCCTGAGAGGGGTGACAGGAGGAGATAAAGGAGGGGTTACAAACTAAGATATTTTTGTTTTTACCTGATCTGAGGGGTAGAGTAAAATAAGTATTAAAAGAGAACCAACACAGAGTGGCATGGAAGAGGACCAGGGTATTCCCATAGGGTCACCGGCATTCCCAATGGGGACAAGGCATCCTAGGCAGGGTGACCAGATGTCCCGATTTTATAGGGACAGTCCCGATATTCGGGACTTTTTCTTATATGGACCTCTATTACCCCCCACCTCTGGCCTGACTTTTCATACTTGCTGTCTGGTCACCCTAATCCTAGGAGAAAAGGGAGCTAGGCAATCAAATGGAGAACTGGGAGTTACAACTGGGCAGCACATGTGGTGAGATATGGGAGCAAACATATTATCCAAAAGAGGTGGGTGTG